ATATATATATATATATATATATATGGGAAGGTTATAATAACACCGGTGTAATTTTTACTAAGTATTACGTCCCTTAATAACTTTATATTAATTGTGAATTTTATAAATCCAACTGTCACTAGTGCAAAAATTGGATTTAAAATCAGAGTTTTAAGATCTGTTATCTTATAACCGATCTTAAAAGTGACGCGGTGGCAATTTTGTAAATAAACTGAATACTTTTAAGATCGGTTCACATTTAACTGATCTTAAAAGTACTTTTAAGATCGGTTCTTTTGTAACCGATCTTAAAAGTGTGTCAGACACTACTTTTAAGATCGGTTACAAAAGAACCGATTTTAAAAGTTGTATCAGACATAACTTTTAAGATCAGTTATAAAATAATCGATCTTAAAAGTACTTTTAAGATCGGTTATTTTATGACCGATCTTAAAAGTGCTACTTTTAAAATCAGTTATTTTAGAACCGATTTTAAAAGTGCTACTTTTAAAATCAGTTATTTCAGAACCGATTTTGTATGTAGTATACAAAATCGATTCTAAAAATAACCGATTTTAAAAGTCTCGTCAGAAACCTTTTATATTTCCTTCCAATCTCATTCTCTTTAATCTTTCCCTCCATTCGTTTTTGAATTCTCTCTCTCGCACTCTGATTTTCTAAAGAGGTAAATTCCGTTATTGTTTTCATTTTCGTTTTCCTCTTCTTGTATCTTTTGTTTTCTCATTCTGTTACGTATTTTCGTTGTAGTTTGGGTAAATTTGGAAGCTGGAAAGGAAGCTGGAACGGCCCGTTCTACAAGGAGAACGACCCGTTCTCCTTTCAGTATGGGCCGTGCTGCAAGGAGAACGGCCCGTTCTCCTTCCGGTACGGGCTGCACTGCATGGAGAACGGCCCGTCCTTCTTTCAATATAGGCCATACTGAATGGAGAACGCCCCGTGCTCCTAGGAGAACGACCTGTTCTCTTTTCAGTACGGGCCCGTACTGAAAGGAGAACGGGCCGTTCTGGGTTAGGTTCTTCAGTTCGTGTTTTTCACCATTTGGAACGGCCCATTCCATTTTTGGAACTGCCCGTTCCAGTTTAATT